AGCACATCTCCCGGTTTTTATCGTGGTTTTAATTTTCCACTTTTATAATCTTTGTCAGCATAAGAGATGCAATATCCCATTACTATTTTGACTTGAATTTCTTTGGTCAATAATGAAGTTAAGTATATTTTTATGTGTTATTGATTATTTACATTTTTGAGTGAATTACTTCTTTACAGAGTAAAGACATTTGAACCATTGAAAATATATTGTGTTGCAAATATGTACTCTCAGTTTGACATTTATCTTTCAGTCTTGCTTATAGTTGTTCTTTTTCTCTCTCTAACATTCAAAAGCTTAAATGAAGTCAGATGAATTAATCTTTTCCTTTAAGGTCTCTCTACCTCTGAAAAGATGTTCTCCATACAACCCAGTATGCACTAATAACAATATTAATAAATAACTCATGTTTTCTCCAAGCATTTATACTTAATATTTGACTATATATGACTATATAGTCATATATTAATGATTATTTTCTAGTTATGCAAACAATATACTCATGCATTTTTTATTTTAAAAATTAAACTCCTCATAGTGCCCCATGCTGGAGCAAACTGTGGCCTTGAACCATTGCCTGGCCTCCGCCCATAGGCTGCAGGCATTGACGTGAGTTGCGCAGTGGAAAAAAAATCATTAAACTCCACAGATAAGGTGTAAGTCCCTTAGACATTAATCCCAATTCATTCCCAAAGGTCACTCATTAAGAGTGATGTATATCTTTCTAAAGCTTCTATTAAGAAGACGCACATATGCACACAGAGAAATTATAGTTTAGTTTGATTTGTTTTTGCTTTTGCAGAAATGATATTGTACCATATGTATTGTTATACAACTATTAAGAGTACAACATGTTTTGGAGATCTTCATGTCAGTACATACAGTCCAATCTGCTCTTTTTAACTGAATACTGACTGTAGCATTCAGTAATTTGGATGTATCAAAATTTATTTAACCCCTAACCTACCAGTGGATATTTAGGTTGATTCCAATTTATTGCTCTCCAAACAATATAATTTTTAAGAATATTGTCATATTTCCTTGTGCACCTGTTGGAATTCCTGAGTAGAAATGTATGTGCATTTTTAAAATTTTAATACAAAATGCTTGAAAAGAAAAGAAAAAAATAAAAATAAAAATAAAATTTTAATACATACTTTAAAATTGTCCTCTCTTCTAAGGCTTTTATAGCTTTTTATTTAATTTTTAAAATCAATTTGAAATTTTCCTTGGGGTAAAGGATGAGGAAGGCATGACCTTTTTCATCATGTAATGAGTAGACTGCTCAGATGTAACCGTCATTTACTAACTAATCCATCTTTTCCCAATAGATTTGAAGTGGTACCTTTATCATATATTAAATTCCCACAATTGCTGAAGTTTAGCTTTGGGTTATCTATTCTGTTCTATGGATATGTCTATTCCTGTGCTGGTGCCATATATTTAAGCTACTTAGCTCTGCAATTCATTTTAATATCTGGGAGGACAAACTCTCCATTATTACACTTCCTTCTTAGGCTTTTCTTGATATTCTGTGTTGTTTTTTTCTGGGATAACATAGAAATTATTTTTTAAAAGGAGTAAAACAGTGAAAGGTTGTTAAGAAATACCTCTTTTCCTATTTATAGTGTTTATTATCACCACTCCTTCCTTCTGTACCCAGAGAGAGTAATTTTATGATTTATGTGCTTTAAGCAAAATATTAATCACAGGAGACTATGGCCAAGGGATGTAAAGAAATGGGGGGGGGGTCCTTAAGAGAAGGAAAGAACAATGGTGGGCAATCTCTCCAAGTAAAAAGAGAATTTAGGAGCAGCTAATTGCTGAAGAAATAGTTGGAAGAATCCAGAGGGAAAAAGATCTTGAAAGCCCAAATTGGTTTGGGGGCATTTTAAGCCAGAAACTAAGACGTTAAACCTGAATACTGAGAAAGGGGAGTGGGGTCCCTGGAGAGAAAAGTCAGCCAGCTAGTCTGCAGGTTCAGCAAAGAGACTGCCTCCGAAAACCCCAACCGTGGATTAAACTCAGCTCAAAGAAGCTTGAATCCTGAGACCAAGCCCCGCAGTCTACTTATTTTATATCCGATCTCTCAGCACACTGAACTAAAACAATCTTTCTACCCCTCATTTACACATCTGGCCTGTGTAGGTATAGATGACCTTCAAGAAGGGTGTCTGGAGAGGTGCTGAGAGGCAAGGTTATGGTCTTAATGAAGGTCTTCAAAGTGTTAACACCTGAGGCCTCTCTCAGCAAATGTTGCTTATAATGTATAAAGGGGTCAGCAGTACCACTTCAAGTAGGGCACATGAAGGTCAGGCCCCCATACCTGGCTGCCAAAACAGCCCCTGCAATAAAAATCTTCCGGAGATGCCCATCTGAATGCCCGAGGCACAGTCCTGGTGGGTAGAGGCCACAGGATGCCCCCTTGGATACTGCCAGATGCTCTGGTTGTTGGGCATCTTGCTTGGCAGGCAAAGCAGTTACCATGACAATGCCCCCCCCCCAAAAAAAACTCTGCCATTTTTTTGTCTCCTTTTCCACTAAATACCAAGGTATTCCAGGGACAGGCAAACATAGCTCTCAGGACAGGATGTCCTCTGGTCCAGGAAGCGGGGAATGGAAGAGGGGAGTGGGATGTGTCTATGTTACAACTGAATGAGTCTTCATGAGTATAAATGTATAAATACATACTTCTGGGTTAAAATGTGTGCTTTTTGTTGTAGATCAATGCATATGTTAGCATGTATCATGCAAATGGTCAGATCCCTGTTTGACCTGGCATTGGGAGAGTCACTTCCCGGCCCCCCCACAAAGTGCTGAGTCATGGCTCCAGCTGGGTTTCTCTCTCCTATTCCCCATTTCCACCCTTTTCTCAGTTCACTCCTCACCCCTGCTGAGCTCTCCTTAGAGCTCTGGGCCCTCTTCATCACCTCCTTCCTGAGCCTGGACTCACTTTACCGAGCTTTACTTCTGGGCAGTAAACAGGAGGCACTTTGCTCTGTTTCTAAGAAGCTTGCTTGCCTTTCACTTTGCCTTCTCAGAAAACAGGTCTGAGCCCTTCTCTCTCCGACAGCGGGAGTCTGATCAAGTCGGACCCAGGTGTGATTCCTCCTGGAATCCTGCTGATCTTCCTCCAGCCCTTCACCCCAATCGGATTATGGCAGAGTCTCAAGCCCTGGAGCACCGCAAGGAAAGTGAGATTTGACTCCACACACTGAGACTTTTCTCATTCTAGGTCTGCAAGTGCCAGACCACAGGTTCCTAGAGGGATGCGTGTGTGTGTGTGTGTGTGTGTGTGTGTGTGTGTGTGTAGTAAAGGGACCGTGTGCTCCGCCTATAAGTTCAGGGACATTATCTACAACCCTCCACCCCCAAGGGCAGGATGTTTGGGGGTATCTGTGGGCTCTCTGATCTCTTTCTCACTTGCTTTAGGCTCTTCTAACGCAGTTAACTCCAATCAAGCAGTCTTGTTAACTAGTCTCAAATAAGGTAGATTAGGATTGTTTTTCTATCTAGAGATGGGAGATCGAAAAGGTGGCCCCGCCCACCCGCTCAGTCTGGTTACTATGGCGACAGCCGCGGGGTGACCCTTGCGCTCCTCCCTCCCTCTGTCCAAACTGAGAGATGACGGCACCGCGCTGACTGCGCCAAATTCCAGCCAATGGGCGTCTGCTCCCGCCTTTCCTTCCGCCACTTCTCTCCCCCTCCCTCCTCCCCGCTCCCGGGAACTCGATTCACAAATCTGGGCTGGGGATTTCCGGCTCCCGGCCGGGTGCACGGGCCCGGCCCGAGGCGGTGGGGGGAGTGGAAGCCTGTCTCGCAGGAGGGCAAATGGAAGCTGGCCTGCCTGGGTTCTCGGGCCAGACTCCTGTAACTCGCCACCAGAGCAGATCACACCTCACTTCCAAATTCAGCGGAAGACCAGGTTCAGGCCCAGCCCGCCACTCCTCTTGCCCTTGCAGGCCACCGCCCTCTCCTCGCGCCCGAGCTCGCGGTCAGCACCACGGACAGCGAGCCTTGCCTTGGCCGGCCTTGCCAGACGGTGCAGGGTCCTGGCCGTCTCGCGACGGCCAGGGTCAGAAGCTCCAGCGCCGTGCTGGAGATAGGCTTCCTCGGGCCAATGAAAGAGTGAACGGAGCGCTTAGCCATGTGCCTAACAAGGCAAGGGAGACCAAACAGGGATCTCAGGCTAAACAGGTTGCTTCTCTTCTTTCAGTCCCAAAGAACGACTCCCATCTCCCAGGCTGCCGGTGTCCTAGCCTCCCTGGGACTAGGGGACCAGGTCTGGGTCTCAAGCAGGGTTGGCGCTCCCGAGGCTGCTCTGGGCAGGCGTGTGACAGGAGCAGCCTCGAAGCGGCCCAGGGGAAGGGGGGAAGGGCGTGGGCCTGCGTGTGGCAACAGGCCCCGCCTAAGAGTAGGGAACACAGACTTAGGTCTGGCTGGACTCTTGATGGGGCACATGGCGGGGAGAGACGGAGGGAAAACAGAAAAGCAGCCATAATAGCTAGCCAGTTCTGCCTCCATGGACCACGCTGTAAAAGGGGAACAACTTCCTCGTTATTTAATCCAAAAACAGACCGGCCATTAATGGAGCTAGGTCAGTCAAGATGGAGACGGTTGTGGGGGTGGCAGTAAACGCGGCCGAAAGAGTAGCAGTTCTCAGGGCTGCGGCCTTCCCCACGGGGCCCATGGAGGCCCTCCTGCCCTGTCTGTGACAGTTCCACTCCTGCTCCCGCTCCCTCCCTCCCGGGGCCCAAAGAAAAGCCGGCGCAAGACCGTCTACAGGCGCTTCCAGCGCTTTATAGTTATCTCCCGGACAGACGGACAGACAGACAGTGCGGCCCGCGCCGTCGGCCCGCATCATTGGCACCTTGGATACGGCACCAGGCCCAACCCCGTCCCGGGTACCCTCCCAGGAGGATTCCGGTCCGGCCGCAGATCAGCACCTCAGACAGCTCCCGGTCCAACCCTCCCCCACCCCCACCCTCCAGAAACAACCGAATAAATTAAAAGGGGGAGGAAAACAAAAACACCTAAGGATAAGAACGGGGGTACCCCTCCCCGTGAACAAGAAGAGTTTCTGTCTCTTCCCATCCTTTCGCTGAGGTGCCGTTGCCGCCGGGGTGAACTCCTGGGTTGAGTGTGCGCCCGAAGGTCAGCCTCCTGGAGTCAGCATCCCTGTCCCCCCAGCTCCCGGCATGCAACACGTTGGAAAGGTACAGAGAGGCGGTGGGGGTGGGGCGAACGACCATCCTGGCCGTGGTCTGAGCCCCTGGAGGTGCATGGAGTCCCCCACGCACCTCCGTCGGTCCGAATGACGAGCTCACGTTCCTTTTGGTCTGGGGAGAAGGGTAGGGGGCTCAGTCGGGGGAATAAATGCAAGCTGACAGAGGCAGGGTGGGGGAGGCAGACGGGGAGGAAGGTGGTGACACAGGCCAAGAGCGAAGAAAAGGAGAACAAGAAGGGGAGACGGGGACACAGGGGCAGAAAGAGAAACGGGGGCAAAGAAAGGTAGGTAGGGGGTGAGATGGAGACGGAAATACCCACCCAAGGAACGGCAGCTGGAAAGGCAGAGAGGTGGGAAGGGGAAGGTACAGGAAGGAAGTGAGGAAATGGACAAGACGAGGAAGACGGACTTACAGACACAGAAGGGAAGGGGGAGACCCGGGCAGAGTTGGAGAGATGGGGGCGTAGACAGAAAGGTTGAGGTAGGGGGTCCCCTTCTCGCGGTCATCCCCCACTCCCACCCTACGCCCAGCAAATCCAGCGCCTGGGCTTCTGGCTTCCAGGCCTCCGCCTTCCCCTGCGGGGCAGGGGCGGCTCCTCCTCCGGCCGGGGCGCGGAGCAGCGGTAACAGCAGCGACAGCTTGATGGTCCCGGGGGCTCCGAGTGTGTGTCAGGGGCTGGGGCGGGGGGCAGGCTTGGCCTTTGGGTATCCCTAGCGGTCCAGGTTCATAGTCCAGTGCTTGGCTCCGGTCGCGCAGCTGTCCCTGGCGGCCGAGGAGGCGGCGGGGGCCGCGGGCGCGCCCCCACTGGATGGACCCCCGGCGCCGGCGGCGGCCTCACCCTCATTCTTAAGGTCTTGAAAGACCTGCGTGAAGAAGTGGGGATCGGCGTTGAGCCGCAGCATCTGCGGGCTGAGCCGCTGGATGAGGCGCAGGCAGCGTTGCCAGAAGCGCTCCTTGTCGGGCTCCACGAGGAAGGGCTTGAGCGGGTAGGAGATCTCGTTGCCCATGTAGGAGTAGGCGAGGTAGAGGCAGGTGAGGAAGGCGGCCTGCAGCTCGGCGGCCGACGCCAGCTCATCCCCGCGCAGCGACTCGCGGCACAGCAGGTACACGAACACCAGGTTGGCAGGCGTAATGAAGGCCTGGTCTTGCCAGCCCTGCAGCAGGAGCGAGCGGTCCACTCCGCGGAACCAGCCCACCAGCTCGCCCGGGCTCAGCTCCTTGAGGCGGTAGCAGCGCCGGCACACGAAGTCGCCCAGGCAGCGCAGCAGCTCGCCTGTGGACGCCTGCACGATGACCCGCCGCGGCGAGCCGCCAGGCACTGGCGGCGCCGCCTGAGGGGCTGGGGGCGGCGGCGGCGGCTTTCCCCCTCCCGAGCCCGGCGGCGGGGCGGCCGCGCTGCCCCCCGACGGCGGCTCGCAGGTGGCGGCGGCTGCGGGCACTGTGGGCACGGGCACGGCCAGGGGCTTGGTGGCGCCGCCGCCGTCGGGGGGATCCCGGCCCTTGCGGAGAAGGTTCTCGCGGTTGCGTTGTTGGACCAGAGGGTCGGGGCCAGTGGACGCTGGCTTGGGCGTCACCTTCTTGCTGCCTTTCTTCTTCTTGGCAGACGCAGCTACCAGGCGCTTCCAGGTGAGCGCCGAGATGAGCACGGATGGCCGTTTGAGCCGGCTCTCGCCTTTGCCGCCCTTGCCTACCGGCGGAGCCCCGTAGCCCCCCAGCGCCTCGTCCCCCGCGGGCGGCGCCTTCTTCTTCTCCTCGGGTAGCCCGCCGGGCCTCCGGCCCTTGGCCGAAGAGGCAGGGGAAAGAGACAGCACCGTGCCCATCCTGCAGAGAGGGGCCGGCGCCCGGGCCCCGGCGGGAACCGCGGGCGGCGCCGCTGCCGCCGCTGCTGCTGCAGCCCCCGGGGACCCGGCAGTGGGGGGCCTAGCCCCGGCCCGGGCGCGGGAACGGGCGGGGAAAGCTGGCTGCTCGGCTGCTCCGCGGCGGCTGCTCAGAGTCTGAGCTGCGCCAGCTGCAGCGTCAGCCCCACCCCTAGGGCCTCTTCTGTAGCCGCGCCGCGCCCCGCCTCACGAAGCCAATCCTCGCCCGATTTGTCCCCCTAACCGGCAGCTCCCCTGACCAATAGAAACTCGTATGCCAAGCCCAAGTCCCGCCCACCCCCACCCTCGGTCGTCGGTCCTTTCCCTTCCCCAGAAAGGGGAAAGGAGGAGGAGGTGGCTGTCCTTCCAGGACCCCCATAGGGTGTCGGAGCTGGGGAGGTGGTGTGGCTGCTCCCACTTCTCCATGCAGTTCCTAGGGCCCTGGATCGCGGTAGAAAGGAAACCACGGGAGCAGTCTCTCTTCCCTTTTGACTGTGTGTTGGGGGCAGCATAGGCAGTGAGTGCCCTCATCAGGGCTCCTCGACTTCAGCTGGGTCGCGCTGCACTAGCTCCTTCAATTGGGCCGTCTGACCTATTCCGTCTTAGCTCTCCCCTCCCGTACCTCCCCACGAGGCCGCCACGAGGGCTGCAGTAGGAGCATTTCTGCTCTGCCTGTGATGGGGTGCTGGCAGGGCACGAGTCTTCCTGAAGATCACAATCCACCTTCTTGGGGGCCCCTGCTCCAAGGACCGCAAGACGCTCATACATGTCCCTGAGGCCGCGTTTTTTGGCCTGATTTTCTGCAGTTGAGTTCTGTGGGGAGAGGTCCTGGCGTTCTGGTCCCTGGGTGGCTCTTTTTGTGCTCTCCATCCCAACCAACAAGCCCTGATCCCACACTTGGGTGGGTGATAGATGGTTGATGGCTGGGAAAATGCTGGAAATTGGATGGGTTGGTCTCCCCTGACTCAGGCAGTAGATAGGGTCTGAGTGGAGGGAGGCCCAAAAGGGTTGGCACGACCTCCATCCCTGCCCCAGGTCCAAGCTGAGCAGGGTTTTCATTGTTAAATGCTTCTTGCCATTAAGGTCCCAGCTGTCCCCACTCCCAGCTGCAAGCTATTAGGCTGAGTGCTACTCATTTCTCTATGCCTGTCTGTCTGTCCTCTCCTCAGTGCCCACATAGCCTCTGTCCTGTATTCGAGAGTCCCCAAGGCTTATCTGCAGGTTCTGAGCCCAGCTCGTTCTGGGCTGCATCTGCCTTGCGGGACAGTGTCCACCGTTCTGCAGGCCTGCTCTCTGGCTCCCCAGCACAGGAGGCTCCAGCTTCTTAAGTGGGCCTTGAAGGTGGAGGTGTAGGCGGGAGGAGCCCCTGCCTACAGACTCAGCAAAATCTTCAGAATTGGCCCTGGAGTCCCCTCCAAGCTCCTCACAGACCACCAACGCAGCTTCAAGGATCCACTGCTGTCAGGGTTGCTAGGTATGCACGTGAGCATATGGGTCATTCTGGGTAGGCTGTTCCAGAATCCTCTTAGGTGCAGCTCCGGCCACCAGCTTTTCTCAGATGTCCCACAGTCCCCGCTTACTAACACCCTTCTGAAGGCCTGTGGTATGCCTGTCTTGATTCCCCCCCTTCTTTTTTTGCCACTGCACCCATGCAGACTTGCCCCCCCCACCCCCCACCAACTCAGAGCCCATGTGCATTGTCTCAGCAGGGTCTTCCTTGCTCACTTAGATCTGATCTTTGTTCTTTCAAAGCCCAACTGACCTGCTCAACCTCCCCATTATCCTGTTTTTTCAGCTCCTAGAATGGGTCCCACTCCTTCCTACAAGGGCTTCTGAGTCAGCCTCTATTTGACACTCAAGGAACAGTTGGTTCACGGGTAGTTAAGGACAGGCCCCATAGAGACTAGGTTGCACTTGCAGAAACACCAGGCACGTGGCTCAGAATGGCACGTGGGTCCTCCTAGCTCCCTGGAGTCCTTCACTGCCATAAGGCCTATTGCTGCTGCTGTTTAGGACAAGACCTTATATGCAGCACCCGCAGATGTCACCGCCATGGCACCCCACCCTTCAGGCACAGCTGTGATCTCCTGTGTCCTCTGGGTCAGATTCAAGAATTTCCTCCTCTGCTTCAGGGTCCCTGGAACAGGTACTTTAAAAGGCCACACTTCCCGTTCTCATCCTTCACCTTGCTCTGCCTCAGACCCACTGTGTGGCTCACCCACTCTCCACACTTCTAGTGTGGGTATCCCTCCTGAATCTCTGAACTCCCACCCCCACCCCCACCCCCCAAAACCCCACTCCCTTGCCTTCTCCTGTCAAGCTCTTAAAATCCTACCTCCTCTAAGAAGCACTTTTGGACCGATTGGAAGGGACCTAATGCCCAATGCTCCTGACATCAGTCTTTCTAACCTCTTCCCCCAACAGCAGCTGCTACAGAACAACTTGGTTAAGGGCTGGGCTATGAGTCCCTAGTCTGAGATATGCAGGATGGATATGGGTGGAATTGTAAAGGAAAAATGGACAAAATGATAAAAACAAATCCATAAAGAGTGATAGCATTTCTGTTATTAAAGAAGCTGGGGAGCCCTGATTGGTGTGAGTCAGTGAGTTGGGCATTGACCTGCAGACCAAAAGGTCACAGGTTCAATACCTGGGTTTCAGGCCAGGTCCCCAGCTGGGGGCGTGTGAGAGGCAACCTGATCGATGTTTTTCTTGTACATCAATGTTTCTCTCCCTTCCCCTCTTTTTCAAAATAAATAAAATCCTTTATAAATAAATAAATAAATAAATAAATAAATAAATAAATAAAATCTTTTTTTAAAAAAAGCTGGAGACATTAAGGGAGAAGAGAGGGAGGCTATGTCTCAATAGGGTGGAGGCCAAAAGGGATAGTGTAGTGAAACCAGAAAGACTTGATGAGAAAGTTGGCTTTGCAGAAGGACAGTGACATCCCTTCCACATCTGCAACTGCCCTTTCCTGGACATGCATGCTCCTCTGGGACAGTGCCGGCTGTGTTAGACTCCTTAAACGAGAACCCCTTGAAGCCAGCCTCCTTGTCTGTCTCTGTCACTCCGGAGAACAATGCCCTGTCCAAAGAAGCAGTTATTTCTGAAGGCTCTTCAAGGGCAGAACTGTAGGCCTAAACCAAGAACTAGAGGGCCTAGACCAAGGTTTTAGCCTATGTAGAAACATGGCCTTAGTGATGAGAATCACAATTTCACCTTCGAGATAAGCTCTTCACTGACCCCTGGGAAGAGGAGCCCCACCTTTGAGAAAATATCACCAGGCAATGTTGCTCCGACTCTTAACGCCCTTTGGCTGTATCCATGTCCCTTTCTGAGAGTCCATAGTCTAGGAGGCAGGAGTTCTAGCCCTGACTTATAAACTGTCGACCTGGGGAAGTAATTTCAGCTCTCTGGGCCTCTCTCTTTTTCATATTAAAATGTAGGGACTGTATATATTTTACTTTTATTATCAGATAAAAAAATGAATACTAAAGAAGTAAGAAAACATCTTGGAGACTGAACTTGAAAATGATTCCTAAAGCCTCTTCCAGTTTCACCGTTCTGATTCTAAATACATCTGTCCTGTGAATCTGTTTCACACTCTAGCTCCCGCCCTGTCTGGTTCTCCCCCGTCTGCTTCGGCCTGATGGGCGCAGTCTCTGTGCGTGCAGTACCCGAGTGAGGCCTGCACTTCTGCAGTTTAGCGGAGGAGACAAAGGAGAGAGGGGCTTTGGTTCTCATCCAGGCTTTAGAGGAGCCACTGAAAGGTGGTGAGAAAAAGGACAGGATGCCAAGATGACTAGGTCCAGGGTCTCCCCAGTAAACATCAAGGCCAGAGATCCCAGAACCCAAGATCATTGCACCTTCCTATCTCCAAGGGACCCCTACAAAGAGAATGATGACTATGCAGATTCTTAACACGCCAAGGGTGGAGACTCAGCCTGGGCATCTGAATTTCTGGACTTTGCATCCTGCCTCCCATTTCGTACCCCCGTCCAGGGTCTCAGCTCCTTCCCTGTGCAAAGGGAGAGCATATGCACCAGCCCAGCTCTTCCAAGGGGAGCCCGGGTGAGGAGGAGAGTCCCTGGGAAGGCAAAGGAGGGAGCACCCTTCCCCCCCGCCCCCGCCCCCGCCCCCCACACCAGGCAATAGCTGGGAGTAGGGAAAGGGGATGAGCAGAGAGATGAACCTGACCAAGGAGGTGCTGCTAGCTGCCAGGAGGGAGACCCTCACCTTCACAATGTCTTTCCATTCCAGCAGGTCCCTTGCTAGAAGGACTTAATTGAGGAAGCCCAAATGTAGGGCTTTTTTTTAGAGCAGAGAGTAGAGTTGATAAGCACAGATGAGGAAGAGGTGCCCTGGTGCAGTGGGAGAAGGGACTGATGCTGAGACGCCGGAGGGCCCAGGATTAAGGGTCAGGGGAGGACAAGGGGGAGCTGGGGCTCCTTTTCCTGGCCATAAGCTCTGCTTCCTTCCCTAATAAAGCCTTGGCCCCCCATCAGCCTTCCCCCATCCTCACCCCTGGGTCTTCTATTTCTGGCCCCCTAGCCCCTGCCTTCGCCTCCCTGTTGCCCGCCACCCCCAAACCCCCCGCCCCAGTACAGTTTTTCCTGCCCAGTCCCTCCAGTACCTTCATTTCTCGGTTCACCTCCTCCTGCTGCCACTGAGCCCCTCTTTTTGCCTCCTCCCTTTCACCCCCGCCCCAAACAGCACTCTGGCCACCGCCATGCCCACGTCTCTTCCCTGCCCTGCCTGCACCCAGCATAGCACTCCAGATGCAGGAGCAGATCAAGGAGGACCGGGGGTGGTGGCTGCTGCTTTTCAGGGATATTCTTAGCCTGTCTGGGGGCTGGAGCTGGAATCAGCGTTTCCATCTCAACCAGGCAGTTGGTTGCAGTGAAGCTGCTGCTGTGACTGGGTCTTCATTCAGTGCTCTGGCCCTTTCCCTGCCCCTGTCC